GATTGTTCTAGAATTTCTGATGTCGGAGATTCCAACCTAATTCCCACTCCGGATCCTTGCTTTGTTGAAGACCCATCTACGTGTAATTTCCAAGTTTGGTTCTCCGGTTGATCTATCGTTCCAGGTATTGGTAGTTCGGTCAGGAAGTCTGCTAAGACCTGAGCTTTCATACTGATCCGGCTTTTAAACTCTATGTCGTACTCGCTTAATTCCACCGCCCATTTCGCCAAACGTCCGGATTGACTTGGACTATGAAGTATTGTTCTGAGTGGTTGGTTAGTTAATACTTCAACCGGATGGGACTGAAAATATGGACGCAACTTCCGAGCCGAAGTTACCACCGCGAGTGCAAGTTTTTCCATCATTGTGTATCTGGTTTCCGGATCCGTCATTGACTTGCTCACATAGTAAATTGGTTTCTGCTCCCCACGGTCTTCCCGAACCAAGACTCCACTAACCGCGTGGTTTGAAACTGAAACGTACAAGTAGAGTTTTTCATCCACTTCCGGTTTGGACAGTATAGGTGGAGTGGTTAAGTATGCCTTAAGCTGTCCAAAAGCTTCTTCACACTTCTCATCCCAAAGAAATCCTTTGTTCCCTTTTAGAATTTGGTAGAAAGGCAACGACTTATCTGTAGATCTCGAGATAAAACGATTCAAGGCCGCAATTCGCCCAGTCAACCGTTGTACTTCTTTGAAGTTTTTCGGAGATGGCATGTTTAGAAAGGCGTTAATTTGATTTGGATTGGCTTCAATCCCTCTTTCTGTCACGATATAACCAAGGAATTCTCCGGATGGGACTCCAAATGTGCACTTCGCCGGGTTCAGCTTCATTTGATATTTATTGAGAATATCAAAACATTCCTCCAAATGCTTAACATGATCTTCTTTCTTCAACGATTTAACCAACATATCATCTATGTAGACTTCCATAGTCTTCCCGAGGTGATTGTGAAACATTTTGTTCACCAACCGTTGGTAAGTCGCTCCTGCATTTTTCAAACCAAAAGGCATTACCTTGTAACAGTAGATACCTCTATCTGTGATAAATGACGTCTTTTCTTGATCATCGGGGTTCATCATTATCTGATTATAACCCGAGAAGGCGTCCATGAACGTTAACAGCTCATTTCCAGCGGTGGACTCTACAAGTCGATCTATATGCGGGAGCGGGAAACTATCTTTGGGACATGCTTTATTTAGGTCTGTAAAGTCGATGCAAACCCTATCTTTCCCATTCTTTTTCTTGACAACGACAGTGTTTGCTACCCACTCCGGATATTGCACTTCTCTTATGGACCCTATCTTCAAGAGTTTATCCACTTCGTCGTTTACTATTTTTGCCCGCTCCACTCCAAGCTTTCTTCTTTTTTGTTTCACCGGTTTGAAGCTTGGATCTACGTTTAGTTCATGACAAATTATACTCGGATTTATGCCTGGCATGTCCGCTGCTGACCATGCAAATGATGCTTTGTTTTTCCTTAAGAGTTCGATCAAAGCTTCTTTTATTTGGCCAGTCAAAGTTGCTCCAATTCTAATTTTCCGGTCCGGCTTGTCTTCTTCCAGTACCACTTCGACTACTACATCCTCTTTCTTCTGCCCACTAGGAAATTTTGTTTTTAGTCCTTCTTTTGCGGGCTTCGTTAATTGCTATTGAATCTTCATACGGTGGCTAGCTAAGTAACAAGTCCGTGAAGCTTCTTGATCTCCCCGAATTGTTTCCACCCCATTTGATGTTGGAAATTTGATACATTGATGATATGTAGAGGGGACTGCTTTCATCCGATAAATCTAGGGAGTCCCGAGGATGATGTTGTAAGCAGCGGGCTTATCGAAGACAACGAAGTCCACGATCTTCGATACCTTCTTGGCAAGGACCGGTAGCTTGATTGTTCCGAGAGACATGGCTGATTCGCATGTGAATGCAACTAACGGAGATGGGGGTCCTACTATGTCTCCTCGGCTGATTCCCATTTTTTCTAGAGTACTTAAAAAGATCAAGTCGACCGAACTGCCTGTATCTATAAGGATCCTTGATACTTCGAAGTTTGCGACGTCAAGGGTAATGACTAGAGCATCGTCATGCGGTCTTTCGAGATGCCGCGTTTCTTCTTCGTTAAATGATATTGAAGCACCTTGAAAATCAATTTCTTCACTCAAGCTTGCTTTAAGTAAGACATTTCGTCTATGTTTTTTGATGGAACTTATTGAATCTCCGCAAAATCTGGAACCTCCTAGGATCACATTGATCCTCCCCTTCGAACTTCTCGGTTCTTCCTTGTTGGATAACCTTGGTCTTTTGGAATCTTGATCTTTGGAGTTTTCCTTTGCTTCGTGGTATTCCTTCACAAAATCTTTTATATCGAATTTAGAAAGATCGCCACTAGCCCAAAGCTCTGCGAGGTGCTTTTTAAGAACGCTGCAATCCTTGGTTAAATGTCCGGTTACTTTATGAATGTCGCAATATAGACTTTCGTCACGGACCCAAGTGTTTGATCTTCCTTTCCCTTGGAATTGCTTCCCGACGGAATTGCTGAAGGGTTGCGACCCAAACTTCCTTAGTCCTTTGCTCTCTCTAGGCTCGAACTTCTTGGTAGGGACGGTGACTGCCGGCTTTTCTTGTTTATTCCGTTTGGCAAAACTTTCTTTTTCGTCTTCTACCTCCATCCAATTGTTTGCACGGAAGAGTGCATCCTGAATTGTATCTGGTTTATGAAGTATTAAGTCTTCTTTAAACCTTGAATCATGTCGCAATCCTTTTCGTAGGGCAGATAAAGCTGATTGCTGTGAGATTCTTGGGAGTTTTGATAGCACCCCTTTGAATTTGGTGATGAAAACTCGAAGTGACTCATTAGATCCTTGCGTTAAGTTCCAAAGATCGGCGTCCAGCTAGATTAATCTAACCTATATAATTCTTCGTGTGCCTACTTTGGTCTCTCTCATCCCAGTATGATCTCCATAATGTCAAAGTAGGGACTCCAAAAAGGAATGTATAGATGGGAGGCAATCCATAGGAGTTTTTTCGTTTTGGTGATATTAAACTTAAGAAATATTTACTCAGATATTATAGTAAGGTTGAAATATTACTAGTATCTCGTACATTTTTTGAAAATTATTCATATATTTAATGTTTTTGTGTAATTACAATTAACACCCTTAAATAGTTTTTTTTAATTGAAATTTTTTTATTCTTTTTTAATTAAGAAATGATTAATAAAAATTAGTTTAATCCACGTTATTAAGAGAATAAAATTAAAGCCACGTCATTAACTTTATCTCTGTGATTATAGAGGAAAACTGAATCGTTTCCCTCACTGTTACTGTTCATTTGCGAAAAAAAAAAATTGTTTCTTTTGCCGTCTCTCGAAGACGAACGAGAGAGAATGAGATGAAGAAACTGATATAAAAAGAAAAAACGACGAAAATAAGACGAAAAGTTACGTAACTTATTGTTTCGCAGTAAATTTACATGTCATGACTGAGTTATAATGTTTCACAGAAGACGAAAGGTTGCGTAAATTTACGTATTACGGCCGAGTTATAATGCTTCACGGCTGACTTATCACAAGAAATATACTAAAAGTAAACATATTTAATACAAGCATTAGTCACGCAAACCAAACAATGTTTGATGTCTCCAATCTACTAAATGATAAAATTTAATACAAGCATTACCTGTTATTCCAGTTTGCTAATTAATTTATTTTCTTATTTTTCTATTAATTATTATTTCCAGATCAATCATATATCGGGAGAAAGATGAACGAAAATGAAGAATGAGGAAGACGATGACGAATTGGATGTTCAAAATTAAGTTCTGGATATCTCTATTTATGTAAAAACACAGTGAAGAACAAAACGAGTATAAAAAAGACGTTTCGTATTTCCTTTGATGATGATAACATGGAATGTTGCATCCGACGTCATTTTTTAATTGATGAAATGGCAAGTAAGCCACCAAACTCAGCCAAAATTTTGACAAATCAACCATCAGGTAAAAACTGGGTTATGCTCGAAAGTCAGCCATTTTCTCATAACTCAGACAGATTTCATTAAGTAAACCGTAACTTCAGGCTGGGTTATACTCGTAAGTCAGCCGTTTGCTCATAATTAACTCAGCTATTTTCCTTAAATCAGCCGCAACATACCGTAACCCAGCCGTTATTGCCGTTATTAATACACGTCAGCGATTTCTGCCGTGGCAACACGGTTTTTCTGATGTGGAATTAAAAACTAATGGTATTATTTGTAATTACGTTTTTTCCTATAACGTGTAACAAAGGCACGCTGCGTATATAAAATATATCCGAAATATGATAGTAATACAAAAAAGATTTTTATGTTTCTGGTCATTTCACCTAATTTGTATAACATCTGAATAACTTTAATTATCTGTTTTAGAAGTTTTCTTTTTTACTTTATTTTTGACGTTTATAAGTCCCACCATTCTGTAATATTGTGAAGTATTATGAGAATGAGTTTGGAACAGGTATTGAATGCATAATATGCGAATTTTTGGAGTTCCAAAACAATTAAAACCGATCGGTATAAAACTGAAACCGACCGGTATCAAACTGTCTCAATACCGATCAGTCAGGTGCCATAACCGATCAGTACCATGTCCAGGTACGAAACTAATTTTGGTTTAATCTGGTTCAACCAAACCGGACCAAATCGAAAACCCTATCTCACGATTTCATCTTCTTCATTTCTCGTTTTCACCATTTTCATTTTTTCTAAATCTTCAAACTTCATTTTTCATTTCCACCATTTTCGGTTTTCTAACTTGAGTGTCATAAAGTATTCGGGAAGCATCCTAGGTGTTTCCCGGAACCTTAACGTTTCCTTCCTTGACGTAAGTCCATCTACTTTCCAGGATTGGAACTTTGATTGTTCTAAAGACCATCCGCAAAACGGATAGACTTAAAGTTCTTCACAAACATATGTTGTTAATTTCCAAAAAAATCTTCAAAAATGTTGATGTGTGTCACTCAGCAGCCCTTCTTTTTTTATCTAGAATTGAATTCTGTTTTTATTGTTTAAAACAAACAGATTATATCTTAAATCATATAATACTACTATACATGCGAGTTGAGAAATATATAGAAAAGTCTCCAAATCAATCTCTTCTATATGCATCACCACTTAATTATCATATTTTCAAATTGAGAAACAATTATCTAGTACAATCTTACAGTCTAGTGCCATACAATTATATCGTTATAGAGAGCCTATCCAAATTTTTTAAAAATGCATTATGTCAAGTTGAATTTTGTAGGTAAATTCATAGAGAACACACTAATATAAAATAGTGGACAAAATGTCTCTGTTACATACTATATGATTTACAATTTTTTGAATTGTTTAAACGGAAAGGACCATTTGCATTTTTCACTTTCCTATGCGGCCGCTAGATGTCATCATATTACTAGGCCACTATAGTTCACTTTTTTAATAAACAAAAACCCACTTTGATCTGCATATCCACCTGGATCACATACAAAACCCTATTTCCCCTTTTTGTTTTTAACCTTCTTTAATCAGCAAGAACAGCCAAAAAGATCAACCAAATCTCAGATCTTTCATGGACCACTTCTCTTGCAAGAATACAAACAAGATGGCCAGGACCCACGTTGTTGTCGGTTCCAGACCGTGTTGTTTCTTCTGTGCCATGGAGGAAAAAGACCCTTGTGTTAGAAAAGCATGGTTAGAGTTATCTCTGAGAGATATGCACATGACAAGAGACGACACAGAGCTTGCTCTAACACTCAGTTTTATCTGGAGATACGCCATGTCTGACCCCGAGAACCCCGAGTTACCGACTCTCGGGGTCTTTGAGTGCATGACAAGGTTGATGAAGAAAGGTCTTGAGGATGTAGAATGGGTAATGACTGGCCAAAATGTGTATGTTCCTTACTATGCTGCTCATATCATTGGATCTTACACCATGAAGAACTCTGAGTTTGCTGCAAAAGCAGTGGAGTCTGGGGTAATAGCTCCATTGCTTGAGCTTATGAGAGGTAAAATGAGTTGGGTGGAGCAAAGAGTAGTGGTTAGGGCGTTAGGTCACTTGGCGAGCTACGAGACAACGTTTGAGGCAGTGGCTGCGTACGAGAATGAAGTAATGAGATTAGCCATGGAGATTGCAACGACATGTGTTGATGTTGTGTATGAGGAGTTTGTAAGTGTTCAAGAAAAAGGAAGAGTGAGGTATCACAGTGAATTGCTTACTAGAGGACTTGGAGGGTTAGAGATGGAAGACCGAAAAGCCGAGGAATGGGCAAGCCAACTCCAATGCTGGTCACTACATTTACTCAATTGCTTTGCTTACAAGCAAAGGTGTATTTCTCTTATTTGCAACAAAACCTTTCTCAAGGAGCTTAGCCAAATGTGGGGTGGATTGGTTAACCAAACTTCTCCTGCAGGAATCGGTCTAATTCGGATTATTTGCTATAGTAAACAAGGGCGAAGACATGTATCGGGATCGAGAGAAATGATACTGAGTCTATGCAATCTCTCCCGGTCTTCTGATGATTGGCAATACATGGGTATAGATTGCCTACTGCTCCTTCTTAAAGACCAAGAAACAAGGTACAAAGTCTTAGAGATGTCATTGTTTTATCTAGTAGACCTAGTTGAGCTTAAAGCTCTTAACGTCAGACCAAACCTAGGTGATAGAATAACTAAGGTTCTTGTAATGCATTACAACACAAAGAAAGGTTGTGTTTACTCTCACAAGGCCCAAAAGGCTTTGAAAGAACTATGGAGGAATAAAGTAGAGAGGAGAAAGAGGGAGCGAAAGTTTATGAGTAAGAATAAAGAATTTCTGACAGAGACAAGTGTTGTCGTAAATTTGATTAAGCAGCAAGCAAACCAATTGCTTTGTGTAGGAGACATAGAGGGAGCTATTAAATGCTACAACGAAGCGATAGGCTTATGTCCTTTGAAACTTAGGAGAAAGAGAATGATTCTTTATAGCGAAAGAGGAGAGTGTTACTTACTTCTTGGAGATGTAGATGCGGCTATAAGTGATTGCACAAGAGCTCTTTGCTTGTCGGAACCAGTGAATTCACATGGTAAGAGTCTTTGGACAAGGTCAAGAGCTTATGACATCAAAGGGCTTTCAAGAGAAAGCTTGATGGATTGTATCATGTTTGTCAATGGCCGCTGCTTTCGTGGTAATATTCCTTACTATGCTGCTCAAATGATCAGCAAACAGATGGAGGCTACATGGCTTTTTGAAGAGGCTAGAGCATCAAAGCTTAGAAGAATGATGCACAAGGAGAAATATCACTTAACTGGTATATTCATTTTCTTATACATATGTGTATGAATATACGATTTTGGATCTCATCTAGATATATAAAACAATTTCAAATTTCATGAGATAAATACATTTTTTTTTACTCTCTCAAGGTTTGTCGACGATCACAGAAGAACCTGGGAAGAAGAGGGAAGGAATGATGGTGCAAAGGAAGAAACTTGATCTCTTGGATTGATTAATCTATGTAGCATCTTATTCTGTCTCACTATTTTTTTCTTTTCGTTTTATATTAGAAAGTTTGGTACTTTTGTGATGGATTAGTATCGAATTGTCAAAGAGTTTTAAGTGTTGCATGACTCAAAATCAATATGTACTACTAGAAAATCTTGTTCTTATTTATATCGGGTTTTTTTTTTTTGATTAATTTATAAGATGGTTGCATTAGGATTGTATTTACTCACCACATATTTACTAAAAACAAACCCTAGTAAAGAAAATTTGCTCCAATATTGTTTTTTTTTTTTTTTTGTTCTTTACAAGTTCATCCAAAAAACACCAAAACAAAAACTATAATTAGTAGTCTTTGGGGTTACTTTTTTTCTTTCTACTATTATTGTTTCCATCTAATATTAGTATGACAACTTTTCCTAGTTGATTTTTCTTCTAGTCTATCCTTGCAATTCCAAAATGGATTATATGCATATAGATAAGATCGAATCCAAAAAAGTTACGATGATACAATATAAACATATTTGAAATTCGTGTTTTAATTATATTTATGGGTTCATAGTAGTTACAACGTTGTTTTCTTGGCATTGGATAGAGTGAAAATGAGTATTTTATGTGAAGAATTAAATGGGAAAGAGGTGCGAGTCGCAGAAGGTGGGGAGGACCACAAAACCACAATAAGGTCCGCGTGATCTTTAAAAATTTTAAACTCATTCTTTTACTTGAATATATGGTTTAGTCAGGGCCGTAACTGAGCACAGCCGGGTGAAACATTCGTGTTGGGCCCCCAAATTTTTAACGAGTAATATGTACAGATTTTGGGTTCCCCAAACAATAAAAAAAAAATTTATATATAGATTATAAAACCTCCAAACCGTAATTGTTTGTGGCCCCATAACTCGTAGGACCGGCCCTGGGTTTAGTGTAGACAAATTTCACGAGTTTACGTATATTATTCGAACTAATTAAGCATTATATTTTTATTATTTATGTACCCCAGAACTATCAATAATTCATGGCAACTATATTAAATTTAATCGATTATTTATGTTGGGGTCTAGTCGTCAACTAGACTGTGATACATGGAAAACTAGTCAATTAATTAGTGTCATCCGAAAGAGACCAACGAACTATTCAGCCTGCCATCTACACGAGTATATGAGGGCCTCCGGTCTCCTTTGACATGCAAAAGCTTTGGAGACCGTGGTATTGACTCACCTCCATGGAAAATCCTAAATGCAGTTGGTCGCGAAAGGCTCCATGACAAAAACATCATGCCCATGCCCATGTCCAGCCTTGAGTACAAGCGGGCCAAATCATGCTTGCGGTCGTAAATATAATAAATAAATTTTTGGGTGGTAATTTTCCAAAACTGTCACTAGCAGAATTGATCTCTACTTTATGTAGAAGCGTTAACATGGACATTTGAAATTTTTCCTTGTACATATTACTCTTTTTTTAGTCTTACTAATTACAGGCCTAAATGTTTTTAGTTTGTGGTCCATTAATTTTCAGGACCGGCTCCCGGCTACTCAAGACCCAGTTTTTGACCATGACTAAAAACATTGCTTATAGTGAAAAGGGATCGAACGAAATCCAAAATTGCAGTACAAGGATGAAAGATCAAGAAATCAAGTAACGTAATAAAATAATGTAACGCACAACCATGGTTTTGTGTGATTACCCACACAAAATCGATGACATGATCACACATCTAACACTAAAAGGTGCTCCAAACCTAATGTGGGAGGTATCACCTCTCTTTCCTTCAGCTATACCTAAATCTCCGATTGGGCACTAGTCCGTTCAAACCCGCCTTAGAAGTCTTTGTAGAAGCATTGGAGATTGATTGAAATAGGCCCCCATTTACTGCCCGGGATATTGGTCTATGCAAGATATCGTGGAATCTAAGCCACAACAGGACTTTAACATTACCCGTCGTCCCATGCATTCTTATCCTATTTTAATTAAGGAACGGTCCTAAAGTCCTAGTGACAAGTTCTTAAAAATGATTCGGACGTTTTGTAAAACATATCTGGTTGTTGTTTACACAGATTTCACTACTTGAAGTAATAAATTACGATCAATCTACAAATACGAGATATATGATTTATTAAGATTGGTATTGTTTTTAAATGAATTTGTAACATTTTTACTCTCTAAAATTTTGTATTGGATGCAAGGTAATTTGTATTGTAAAGTGACGTTTGAGTGGTGAAATGGCCATGAAAAACGATGAATACAACAAGACACAATGGTATAAAAATAACTTGAGCCATGACGATTAAATTATCAGCAGAAGCTTATAAATATAATGATTCTGTTTTCTATTGAATTAATCGATACATTAGAGTGGATTTGGACATCTGCGGCTCTCTTTCAAGGACCGCAACCACATCCTTCACAGAGATTGTCCTCACCACTTTCGGTTGAAGCGACGAACCTTGGTTTTTCCCTACTCTTCGACCACCTGCAAACAAGAGTCCATATCTTATTGTCACAAACAAAACCACGAGGAACCTAATTCAATAGACAAAAGCCACATCACAACTAGACTCTTAGCATTTCCAACACTAGCAGCATTTCATGCTTTCCAGGAGGGTTTATTGGTTTTCAACCGAGAGAAAAGGTTTGAGCTTTGTTCATCGGCTTTGCTGAGGGAAACAAACTGTTTTCTTGTTCCTGACTCTTTACTCTTAACTAAAAAACCGGTTTAGAAAATGGACTTACCAGTTCCAGAAAACCTTCGTCCACCATCTTGCCTGTCTTTGGAGTTCTTTCCTCCACCTGAAGTAGTTTTCTGATTCCCATCTTTACCAGCTTCAGATACAGATTTCTGACGAGCTTCAGCCATTAATTGCCATTTCAAGAACGCATCATCTCCTCCGACAGCAGCACGAGCAGCAACATTTGCAGCCGTCGTTCTCATTTTGTCGTCATCTTCTTTATTTACCTTCACATGTCGAAACCACTTTTATAAGAAAATTGCAAAGGTAAATTTAATGTAGCTCCAGAATGTATTATTAATTTATCCATACCTTCACACCCTTTGAACGATTATCTTCTTTCTCCTTCTCACTGTCAACCCCACCATCACCTTCTTCACTCTGCAACAAAAAGAACAAATTGTACAATGTCTGTGTGCCAGAGTAAAAATAAGAACATAGATAATGAGCTCATAACAGACCTCACTCGGTTTCTTCAGCTTTTCTGCTTCTGCCTGTTTCTTCTCCCATTCCTCCTTCACCTTCTGATTCATTTCGTTGATTTGTAGCCGAATATCTGATGTGATAAAAGTCCGGTGTCTAGATTTCTCAGCATCAACCCGCTGAAGAAGCATTTTTAGCTTCAGAAAGAATATATCAAACAATGTTGAAGCAGGTAGTAAGAGAAAGTTAGACTGACCTGCTTTGACAACCGAATTATATGGGACAATAGTCCTCGCATCCTTTCCTCCACACACTGAAAGCACAAATACATGAGAAAAGGGGAGCAAAAAAAAATCTCAAGTACTGTATGCAAACAATGCACAAGAAGTTGACATCTCACCAAAGACAAGCACCGTTCGACATCATTGCTTATCTGCTTTAAACCAGCTTTCGCCACTGCCAGATAAGAAAACCAAATGTAAGCTTTGTTTCCAAGTGATTCAATAACTAGAAATTAAAATAGAAGAAGATATGGGAAGTATCCCAACTAATTTCCGCCAGCTTTCTCTGCAGAGGATTTTTCTGCAAGATTAATCTTTCTTCCTCTTCGTGCACAACTCTCCGAGATGCTTCGGAAACACGACCATCTTCCTTGGCCCCAGAAAATAATTGTTCTTCCTCTTCCTAAACCAAATGCAGACAAAAAGGTGATTTATTCAGTAAACTACATCCAGATTAAAATTGAAAACTGAAGCTACCAGGAAACGCACCCTGAGATTAACACCACTGACTGCAGTGACATCATTGAGCTGTTCAATACTTTGATCCATAGAATTCCCTGCTACTTTTTGCTTCTTGCTGCAAGTTGATCCATGAAAAACGATTATGATTTTATTTTACTTGGGGACTCAAAAAGAAAAGTGCTTAAAGCTGTAAGAATCCTTACAACAGAAATATCTTATTATGATTTTAAGTGGCTAACGAAGAAAGAGTGACTTAAGAAAACAGTTCCCTTTTTCTAAGCCTGAGCAGATCAATTACCTTGGTGGTGGAGGTGAAGAACCTAATGTCTCAAGAGGTTTTTTCTGACCAACAGAAGGCTTTTTAGGTGGCATCCTAGCATTTACTCCTCCTTGAGAGCTTCCCAATGGGCCACGAGAATTCATCTGTTGGATACACAAACAATGTCAATGAGAGAGATTGTCCAATTGAAACTTTTTCCATATACTGTTTATATTAGAAATTATAAAACCCAAAACGAGGAAAAACAATAATGTCGAGGTTGTCGGAAATGACAAGGAAAATATGCAAGGCCTTTTGGAGCTAAAACGATATATCAATAGATCTCTTACCGTTGTGCTAGCGTCTAGTTGAGTTGTCATGGAAGGAGAAACAGAGCTTGCATGCCCCATGTTGTTAGGTGTGGATAAAACCATTCTAGAGGACTCCTTCTCTAAGTCCTCATTCGAAGTCACTGAGGCTGCATTATTCTTTTCAAAACTTTGATCAACTAATTCCTGCTTTACATTGGACACTGATGATCCTTGACCAGGTGCAGAATTTAGAGGCGATGAGCTGTTCTGGAAGTGCGATGTAGCGCCACCTTGAACCCTATTCGGATCATTTACAGAACTTGGCCTCTCAAACTTGGGCATAGTCATCATGTTTGTGGTCGACTGGGGCGGTCCTCCAAGACCAGTTGATCCCATAGGCTGGTTATGTGTCACATGTCTCATATGGGAATCATGAAGGTGAGGCCTCAACGAGGAACCAGAAGCATTGGTGTTTGGACCCGGGTATGTGTGAAAACTACCAGAGGTGGTATACATAGAAAAAGAACTTGGTGGATGCTGCATCTGGTGCTGCGGATGTTTGGTAAGTCCCTGTACCGGAACTGAACTGCCTAAGGTGCCTGAAGCTGAGGACGGTAATTGGTTAAGGTGGACTGCACGAGGATCAGACTGAGATTTTTGATTATTGATTTCTGCGAATGAATAGATTTAATCTATGGAGATAAGATATATCTATGGAGAGTATAGA